GCAGCGGGTAAAAATCATGAAAATGCCTGAAACCTTCAGAGGGTTACCTAAAGTGCTGTTTCAAGAGTATCGTACTCACTCCCCGCGATAAAGGCAATTCGTGTGATATAGAAGGTTTCCCATGACCGTAATGCTTTCCTTATAGGACCACTGCAGCGCGCGATACACCCTTCGGCGGCTTTTGCCTAAGCAAAGAACAGGGGATTTGCCGCGTGCGTTACGCGTTGGGACAGGTTACCAGGATGGCGCTGGAGATCGCCATGCAAAACGACCGTTTCTCCATTTCGTGAATATCTGGGATCTAAATTGGCCCGAAAGCGAAAAAATGCCCGTTCAACCATCGAAACTCAAAACTGCAACTCATCGAAACTTCACAATAATGCGTTATAACAGCGAGCAAGCATCATATTCATAGGCAGCTTGCAAAGTTCCAGGTAAAATTTTTAGCAAACTGAGCTTTGCGCTGGAGTTTTGACCCACCTACTGTACACCCACCGTAACCAAGAAAATGGCGCTATCCTGCGAAATCACCATGATATTCAAGTTCAGCGCGCCAAATGACCACCCTAAACGAAGTTAAAATTGTTTCTATCCCATACCGTGTAACCACCATAACTCTATGAAAAGGTTCCAAAATGCAGAGAGAGAGTATGATATTCGTAATTAGCATGTCGAATAAGCCCTCTGGACCGAACTTCGCCAAATTCATGATTTTGACTTCCTACCGTACACCTATCGTGACCACACGGGGAGACGTTCTGCGGTGAAAGTGTGATATCTGTAATCAGCATGTAATTGACAAGCTCTAGACAGAAAAATTTTGGGATCCGGATAGCCGAATAGCGCCAAACTAATATTGTACTCGTAATCAGCATGCTCGATTACCCCCTTGTGCCAGATGCCAGCCTCGTAGCTCAAACTTTGCAAATAAATCGATAAAAATCGATAAAATCGCTATCGATCGATAACGAAAAGTAGCCTACGACACCCGCTCCGCCCCGAAGCGAATTGTGCAAAGTTTGGTCCGGATCGGTTTAAAAATTGAATTTTCTATTCGGAACATACGTACAGACTTACATACAAACAGACATTCAGCTTTATATATATGATTCAATATACTAAATTTCATGGTTCTTTGAATTTGTCTTTAGAAGTAATACGAAGTTTGAAGTTAATTGACCAAATAATTATGAAGTTAATTGACCAAATAAATACGGGTTGCAGAATAGACTCAGGCGCAGCAGCGGCTACTGGAACAACCATAATGATAGTAGTCCATGAAATTTCATGTGGCGATGATGTCAGGAATATAAAATGTGGCCATATGTCACACGTACCGCAACTCGATACCGATGATCTCTCCGCAAGAGAACGAAAATTTAGAAGTGCAATACCGCGAAACACCCAAACAGGCGTCAATAAACATACAAGCACATTGATTTGCTGATTGCTTGAATTTTCTAAGCGTTTGAGAATTAAGTCAGGGCCCGGCACTGATAGGTTTCTAGGGTTTCTGAAAACGAAGTCTCCCCTAACTTTCGGAAGTTTTACGAAGTCCCCTTTGACCTATCTAAAGATGCAGACAAGAAACATTTACTAGTCTGAAAAAAAAACGTAAGGTAAGAGTCAAAATCTAAATTGGAGCTGAATACTACACAAGGAGTTTGGCTTTGAAGCGCGATATTTGACAAAGCGATTTCCGAAGAAATTCAGGCAAAAAAAGGAAAGGTAATGATATGAAAATGTCTTCATGTTCAGGAATAGATTTTTGACCGGAGAATCCGTCCATGATAGAAAAATTTGAAACCTATGTGAAGTGACATAAATATATGCTCCAGACGATCTCAGGAGCGGTATGTAAATCGCTCGTCCGGGTAAGTTACCAGGACAGGTAGTTTCCGCTTCATAGCTCGGTACTCTGGAATCTGTGTTTTTCCTTGTTTGTTCATCTATAGAAGGCTCTACTACCCTAATATTGTAGCACAATGACTAGCAGCACTTTGCTGTATAAGCTGAGATAATTCTATTTGTATTATCTCGAACGGGACCTCCCACTGATCAAGCTCATTTTTAAAGTTATTTATATTCGCAAAAACTCAATGAAGACGTCACAGAGTTTTGCTGTCGATCTATCACGACAGTATTAGGCAGTGTTTTGCAGTCGATCTATTACGACAGTGTTTTTAGTAGCACAGATGAAATGTGCAAGTTTTGAGTTTTTCGATAGAGCCCAATTCGCGAGCATAGGTTCAGCAAAAATTTTGTCAACTTGATTTTTCACTCATTTCTTTCACAAGATGCGTAGCACTGTCGTAGTAAATGGACAGCAAAACTCTGTGACGTTTTCATTGAGTTTTTGCGGATATAAATAACTTCGAGAATGAGCGTGATCAGTGGGAGATCCCGTTCGGGATCATACAAATAACGCATCTTAGCTTATACAGCAAAGTGCTGCCAATCATAGGGCTACAATATTAGGGTAGAGCCTCCAACAGATGAACAAACAAGGAAAAGCGATTCCCAAAGCACCGAGCTATGAAGCGGAAACTACCTGTCCGGGTAACTTAACCGGACGGGCGATTGTTGCATACCGCCCCAGATCGTCTGGTGGCCGGCTGGAGACAGACTAATTTTGAGAAAGGTATTACTTCCTATAAGTTCTCGAATCTTTTTGCATAATTATTTTGCAAATAATTTACTGTATACAGTTCAATTTTGGTACCATATGATTCTGTATGCACCGTAAAGAAACAATCTGTGTATTTAGCCTTGCTTTCAAATCGCGCGCACTTTTCGCCATACACGATAGAGCATGTCAATCGTGTGAATAACCGTCTGAAAAGCTTGTGCTGACTAAATGTTGTTCTTGGTCCTCGACCCCGATGCTTCAAAAACGATACCTCCTTTGCTTTTTGCTCCAAAAACGAAGTCCAGCCTGCTTCCAGACGATCTGTGCTGGGCTCTGGATTGAGTCAAGCCCAGAAACACTGTTAATCACGCAGCCTTCTCAAAGGCCCCAGTGCAACTGGTCAGGAACTTCTTAATGGTTTTCTTCGTTTGTAATCATTTTGTAAGGTTCTCATAAGTTCTCTTAACCACTTTCGCCTGACTAGGATAGAATTTAAGCTTACATACTTGACGCTTTTCGCATTCCTTCTTCTTCAGTCAGAGCACCCTTTTTTGAATCTGAATTTTTGCCTACCACAAACGATGCAGATCAGCACCACCGCTAACTTTACAGGAAGGAGTGCCAACCTTCTGCCACGTGTCAAAAAATTTAACACGTCATTTACATGTTTGACAAGTTTTACCAATAGTTTGTGTTACTATATTTACCGACGTAAGTTCAATCTGCTTTGTAGTCATTTCTGACCTGATCTCGATCGAACAGTCACAAAGTGAACGTTGTCATAATAATAACGGCATATTATTATATTATCGAAGAACAGACCAGGCTTGCTTAGAATAGAGAAGCGCGCAAAGATTATGTCATTTAAGAGGCAAATTATGCAGCAGCAAGGTACTTCAAGCTATCATTTATTGTCTTTTGTGGCCAAACTTGCATGGTGAAAAGATGAGAAAAACATTTTCGAATCAGTCGAAAGCAAGCAAAATGTTCTTGAATAAATTCAAGATTGTTTTACTTCCATGAGAAAACAATTAAACAGTTTCAAGTTAATCACAATTCTTTTGTACCTCAACGGAAATGATTTCGAAAAAATCATGTCAAAACGGACTAAAAGTGTCAATTTTTTGTGTCACATGGCAAGGAGGCTAACTCCTTGTTGAATCTATGAAAAAATATCCTTATATTAGCTAAAGGAAGTATTATACGAGAGCCTTTTGAGAAAATGGGTGCGGATAACGGAGAAGTACCGGCAATTGCTTAGTTTGGTCTCGTCACTGAATGATAGTAATATTTTGAATTTGGCGCGCTTGTGGGAAAGAACGCAGTGTAGAGTGTCTTGTAAAGTGTACCTAGAGTACTATCTGTTGATGAGGCAGGAAAGCATGTTTATCAGGTGCATGCAAGTTTACCATGTTTTACAACATCCCTCTGGCTATTTGTTTCAAAAACGAAATCGTTTAAATTCAGTACATCTTTGCTGCGCCCTGAAGGGAGATGATCACTTGGCTTCGCTGTTCTTTTTTTGTGCAATCCTACTTTCTTTGGTTGTGAATCTCATATTTCTCGTAATGGTACTACTTTCGGTCACTAGTATACCCTTCAACTGGCTTTTCATATAATCAAGAATGCCGGACGTACTCAAGCTGAAGGTTTTGAAAAAAGTGAGTGACCTAGAGTGGGTGACAAGGGATGTGGTATGTGTTCTTATGTAAAAGCCCGCCGCTGGAAAGACGGAAATGAAACTTTTGGAAAAACTTTTGAGGAAAGCGCGAGAAGTGAATAGGAGGAAAGCAGATAAAAGGCAGCAAACTGCTCCCGCTAGATCCGCATTTCGATCCGATACTGGACTCTAACTGAGACCGTGACAACCAGGTAGGGCCGTAGATCAGCTATCCAACGGTAACGACGGGGTCTAAACGGTTTGGTTTAAAAAACATTTTGGGATACACAATTTTTGCGGCCGCACAACCCCAAAATTCAAGAAAAAATCTTCTGTACACGACGTATCAACTTTCATGATGTGCGAATCAAAGATAAATCATCAACAAGGAGCTCACAAACAGTAACAACATCTCAGGCGCATCTTAAACTTCTGGCGGGTTTGCGAAGACATATGTTATCGCTTATGACCATAAATATAATGCAATCGCTTCTGCACATTTTCACGTAGCGTATCTTTCCATCTTGCTGGGTAATCGGTCATCGAAAAGTTCCCCATGCCTTCCACTTCTTTGAGCCATATTTGACCCCAAGAACCAAGGTGAATGTCACGATAATGCCTAAAAACCCTAACTTGCTCTTTAAAATGCAATCGTTTGAAAGTAGAAAACCGAACTAACAGTCTCAAGTCTTTTTTAAAAGACCATTACCTGACCACCCCAACTTCTGGCTCCAATCGATAAAGCGTATAATTATCATAGAACTTGTCAGGGAAGTGGATTTCCATCATCAGCACCTGAATCAAATTAGTAATATCTTTTTTTCGGTTCGCAAGTAATCCTTTCTATATATCAATAGGATGGGTTTGATGAAGTTTTTTTTGTGATGTTTGCATCGCTTAGAACTAACATACGAATTTGCACTTCCACGCATTAGATCATTACCTTAACTCAATTTATCGTTTATTATTTAGCAAAAGAAAATAATCCCTCATAAATGTTCACCACTACTTGACAAATAACTCTCTTGCTTTGACGTCTTCCGCAAACCTTTGCTAACTAGAAATTGAAATGCTGGCTTCAACTTCCTGCAAACACTTTTTATCAGTGTAATTTTCATAGCATTCGCAGCGCATCAGGTCAAATTATCCCCCATTTCACATTTTACAATTTGGAAGACTGTTACGGAAGATCGACTTCTCGCTTTCCTATGAACTAGTGGCAAAAATATGAGCGCCATCAAAACTCTTCTGTAGCGTATTGGCTCTCCAAAACAAATTCTTTTTGAACTGCCTTTTGCAATGCAAAGGATGATGCATACGGTAATCTCTTTTATATTGCGACAGTCAGAGCTGAACTTTTCATATGATACTCCAAGTCCGGACAGACAGAGAAGAGAGGCACAAAGGTCAGAAGGTGTGCACATTTGTTGAACCTCCTTATTTGCCTCTATAGCCCACTGTGAAGCTTCCGACTACGGTTTAACCGCTGAGGATAGCATTCGTAGAACAAAATCTGTAAATCACTTTGGCAAACGGAAGTTGAGATAAAAGTCAAAATTTCAATTTATTGCCGGAAACATATGCCGGAAATCCTTGTATTAGATGTTCGCAAAACAGAGGCCTTGATAACTTCTTAGAAATTGAAATTACTAAAACTGGCTTTCAAATGAACGTTGTTATACGAACTATCAGATACGCCATTAAAACTGGCAACGGAATGTTCAGAAGTTGAAGTGGCCAATTCAAACAAGTTGCATACCATTCAATGCAGCATAGAATGATTACTTACCTGTCTTCCGTATCTGCAGAGCGCCTTTGTAGGCGAGACTTCGAGCAGCTTTACTGCGAAAAAAGTCTGCACAGATTGCAAAATTAGGCACATTATTCTGACTTCTACAAGTGACCTATGTAGTTGCTTGTTTTGGTCCAACACTGAACCGAGAATGGCTTTGTACGGCCAAGTTTGCCCTTTACACGCAAGATTACTTGGCAAAAAATGGCCCTTAACGGCTCATAATTTTATCCACAAAAGTGTTCTGCAGATAAGGAAAACAGATTTAAAGTCAGTGTTTTATGCTGCATCTAAAGGCATGCGCTTTGCTTGGATTGGCCACTTCGATTTCTGACCATTGCCTTGTGAGACCAAAGATAAAGTAAGGATGCCTTATTTCCAAAAGGTGCCATCAAGAAAAATGGCATAGGGTTCGAATGAACAAAACCATAAAAACGTTATTGAAGACTGCTTAGACAAAAACAGAGAAATTGGGCATTGATGTGTCATCAAGCTCAGTCAGTGGACATTTTTTGCGCGGCTAGTAGTTCTTTTTATGTAATTCGTGAAAATGCTGGTAAGAAAGTTCTGATATTATTGAGATGAACAGTAAAAAATGGGACACCTACAGAAAACTGTAGGTTTCTCAAGAAAGAGAAGTGACTGTATATTCCAATTTTGAAGTATGTTAGAATATACTATGAGTCCTCTTTTCTTGTAACCTGGGCGTTTGGTTTATAATTTAAACAATTCTTTTATGTCGTACAGGTTTTTATTGGTGACAAACTTCATTACTGCCTTATGTTTCGGTCAAAAACTGCGCTTTTTCTCCTTGAAATGTACACTTCAATATTGAAACTGCGGTTTTTCTCCTTGAAACTGAAGCAAAAAAAAGTTATGTCGTCGCACGCGTCGTCTGCGTTGCCGCAACACGCTGCAAGTGGCGTTCGATTCTTCATATCTCCTAAATAAACATTGGTGGCACACCTCTGCAGACCCTTTTAAAAAGAAGGAGCTTAGGCCTTCGGCTTGATAACTTTGGACAAAAAGAAGTAAGAGTGGCAATCTCATAGTTTGCACCGCGCAAGATAAGGCAGTACGCAGTTGTGATAGAGAGCTTTTCATTCTTGCCGTTCATTTTGGGTCACGAGTAAGTATAATATGTAAGATGTTTCTAGAGCCTTTCGTGCAGCGATTTGATTTTCGAATGCCAGAATCTTGTATTTGATGTTGTAAATCATCACCGTTATGCTCTACAAATCTGTGTCTACCTAGTGGCAACTCTATACTCTGTCGCTTTTTTGCTGGCTATATGCTCGCTTATCCTAACGCTTGCTGCCGACCCGTTTCTCCAATATAATGGCAGAGCAGCTCATACATTCAATTTGGTAGACGACGCCACATTTTGCGCAGTCTCCTGCTTTTCCATAGGGGCACACCTTGCAGTCTCGTGTAGTACAAACACTATGATACAGTCTATTACGAACTAAATGCCTCTTGAGGCTTGCTCGCGGAACATTGATCAAAATGACGCCTTTCTCCAACTGTGCTTGTGCTAGGCATTGTTTGATTGCGGTAGTGACTCGTTCGGAAATGAATGGAGACTGCATAGTTGCTCCTATGGAAAAGCAGGAGACTGCGCAAAATGTGGCGTCGTCTACCAAATTGAACGTACGAGCTGCTTTGCCATTTATATTAAAGAAACGGGTCGGCCGCAAGCGTAAGGATAAGCGAGCAGCGAGCATAGCCAGCAAAAAAGCGACGGAGTATAGTGTCGCCACTAGGTAGACACAGATATGTAGAGCATAACGGTGATGGTTTACAACATCGAATGCAAGATTCTGGCCCTCGAAGATCAAATCGCTGCCCGAAAGGCTCTAGAAGCATCTTACATACTTACCCATGACCCAAAATGAACGGCAAGAATGGAGAGCTCTCTATCACAAGTGATGTACTGCCTTATCTTGCGCTGTGCAAACTATGAGATTGCCACCCTTACTTAAGCCATCTCATAGCCATCTCATCCAACTGCTCGTTCGACAAGTCACTCGAGCACGAAGTGAAGCGGCATACGCTGCTACCACGGTGATACACTTGGTGGGTAAACTTTCACGCCCAGTCCCTCAATCTCCACCCGAGATGAATCGAATACTCGGGTCGGAAGAGGTTTTGGCGACAAGGAAAGTAATATCAGAGTCACTGACTCCTTTCCAGGCCTCTGAAGACGGTGTTTAACCGAAAGGTAAGGCAGTAATAAAGTGTGTCACCAATAAAGACCTGTAGGCATAGAGGAGTTGTTCAAGTTATGTTACAATATATTGTCCTTTTTCAGACAATGCTTATATAAGGTCATCTACATAGGTGATAATTTTTAAACTTGCTGAAATGCAAAACTAATCACTTCAACAAATTGTCGATTTCAAACAGTATCTGCGCAGTGGAACCCGTGAGACTATTCAAAGTACCACTGCGACAATGAGTAAAGGTACACTTATCAAACCCACGATGGCCTGCTGGCCACAACACTCAAAGTGGAAATGTCGCTATTAGCATTTTCGAAAACCAATATAGATGTTGTTTACTCTGCAAGTAAGCCCACGTTATTTGGTTGCTATCTGATAGAGCTCTTTACGCTGTACCCATTTTATGGGGGGCGGACTTTATGAACGATAGCGCGGCTCAGGCAGGCATGTGTCAATAAGGTGCGCACCGTTTAGCCCCGCCTATCGCTAGATGGACGTTTCCTGCACTACAGCTTGGGCACTGGTTTAGCCATGTTCACTAGTCCACTAAAATCAGTCCTTGATATTAAGCCATAAGCTTGCTTCAAGCCGGGGAGAAGCTTATTATATACAGAATCGTTTGTTTTATTGTTGATTTTTTGCCCATTTGTGAGATACTGATCTCTTGAATGTTTTGCTGATTCACCTCCGAATGACCGAGTGTCTTCGTAGCAAATTTGAAGTGTGAAATCAATCTAGAACACCTCAGGCATGATTGTGTAGTGACCTTATATCTTTAACTGTTCACACGCAATCGATTTGATTTGAAAGCGCAGTTTCTGGAAGTAATGCACAATAATTTTTTGTCAAAGCATATCCCGTGGAGAAATTGTAAGTGACTACGGTTCTTCCAAATTCTTACGAATTTCGCTTTTCTAAATTCTACGAATTTCGAGTTATAAGTGAATATTTGAATTGGTTTTCGGTCATTCCTGATGGGAGCAAAATGAAAGGATTTTGTTAAGTGAAGCAGATTATCAAATGCAATGATGTATACCAGTCATTGGAATTAGTTTGCTTGGAACAGAATTTGCCTAAAATGCTTGTTTTGAATTCTCGCCGTAATGAAATCTGTATTTAGCTATGAGTAAAGTTTTAAAACTTAGTTTTCTGATAAAAGAGATAATCGTGTTGGTCATTTCAGCAATAACAACAATATTTCTCGATAAGCTGACGTCTTCTTGAACTGAACTTGAGGGTGTACGATAGGGAATATTCGATTTAGTAACAGATGTGAATAAAGAGAATTGAAACACTTTTCCAAGCATTTTCGGAACAAATTCCTCACAGTTGCTATGAAAAATCAATTTGGACAAACCTACTAGGAACAAAAAACTGAAACACATCAAAAAAGAGCTTGCGAACTAATTTGTAATGAAATATGATTCTAAAAGCTGGTTTTCAATTCAATTGAAATTTTGAATTCTATTCTATATCCAAATTCCGACTAATTGAAGGAGCATGAACGAAATATTAGAGTTTTCTGATAGTTGCAACGCATTCCTAACTAATTGACAAGGAGGCGGAGCATTCAGCGCATCGCGTACGGTACCCGTTATGCAGTTTACCTTAGTTTTCACCTATTTTCGGAAAATAAAGGTTGAAACAATTTTATGGTTTTTATTGCGCCAAAAATTGCAATTTTTCAATTTTTCCCTCCTTTTGTCTAGAAAGTAATGAAAATTTCACAAGTTTGATACCATTTCAAAGAGCATAAAGAGCTCTTTCGAATGGCATGTCACTTGTTTCATGACTTTCGGTGTAGCCGTGCAAGATTAAGAATTGTTTAAAAATTACCCTGTTCGAGTTCTTCACGGCGCCACGCGCAGAGAGGAGCGAGAGGGAGAGGAGCTTAACGGATTACTAGAAATAGGCGAACGTCGCTCCAAACGACGTTTAATTTGCAGCCCGCTTGCTGTTGATTGAAAAAAAAAAACAAAAAATCAAAATGTAATGAAAATCAAGGTGTCTCATTTTTTGCCTCTTACTCTGATAATTCAGTGTAACAGTACGCCTCCAGCATTTCGCATATCTATAGTACGAAAACAAAACAAGCGCATACAGCACCATTCAAATGAACCGAATCAAGTTTGGATATTTTACCTTCAGCGGATCCACTATGCACTTGGCAGTATGACCAACAGGCCCCACATGAGAAGTATTGTGGTATCGTAATGTTGGCATATAGGTGGCAGTCTGGAATAGAGTAGTGTCAGATTATTATTGTAGGCAAAAGCTTCGAAAGAAAGCCTCTAAGAGGAGAAAGAGAGAAAATGAATTCAGACAAGATTTTTTTTACAAGTTTTAAGCGGCTTTTTAATCAAAAACCATTGTAAAATTTTTTTGCTTAATTGTAAGACGTAAATCTCTTTCACATTTATGAGATCTAAAAGTACAGCTTGCACGTACCACTGCACTAATTGTAGAAGTGTGTTAGAGGACATGCACAGCCGAGATCGAAATGGGACTTCCCTCTTCATATGACAAAACCCGATATGCAGATTTTTTGATACAAAGTTTAATCCACTTATTAACACTTTTATAAGCTCATAATCATTTTGTAGTAAGACTAATAAAAATGAAAATTTGATATAAACACGGCAACGACGCATTTCAAAGGTGATAGGCAAGCGCGCGCTGTGGGATCGCGGTTCCTAACTTGTGCAGCAACTAAATTGTGGTTTACCATTCCGAATTATATGAGGTTCTTGTTCAAACTTGGACTTGAACTACTAGAAGAAAAAAAAATGTCTCATACGCGATGCAGCAGAAGCTTATCATGAAGAGTTATAACAAGCTAATGCAATAAAAGACTTGCGATAAATCATCGCGCTTGGACTAAACTACACTCATACATTGGTTTACAAAATCGTATTTTTGTTGAAAAACAATACAATCAAAATTTTTGAGTTGCTAACTTCACTTCGAGCATTTAAATTAGCATTTTTGAAGCTAACATTTATGGAATTTCGAACTATTGTGATGCTGTTGTTCGCTAATTTATTAACAACACCGTATAACAAAGGCAAAGGACGCTTCCTTTCTACCGACCTGATTATCATCCTTGTATTTTAAAGGCATCGTGTCATTTTTCAGAATCCATCGTTGCCGAAATTGAATACCACCGATTAACGGGTCGGAAATGTTCCTTGAAAAATTTCCATAATTTTCAAGAAGGACAGATGTGAAGAAAATCTGATGTGTCTGGTTAGTGTCATCAGTAAATTATTAGGCTGGAAACTAAATTTTGCAACTTCTTTTCTGATTTAATCTTTTTGGATGTGGCCCACTCAAAATTTGGCATACGTGAAGCGTAATGTGTGTACTATTGCACGCAAACTGTTTGAATTTAAAATATCGGCGTTTTTTGAAAACTACTAGATTTCTAGAAATTCTGGAGTTATACAAGATGAAGCCATTAGCAGCCGAAACTATGCATGATAACTGGAACTGTCTACGAATTATTGCTAGAGATTAACTCATACGGCAGCGAGGAGAGATAAAATTTAAAAATTCGCCGAGAATTCAAATAGTGGTTTTATTTGGCCCGCCAAACACAAATAACATATTCAGATAAATCAACGCCTCTTTTTTGTTCATGTTGAAACTCTATACCGTAAACCTACACTAATCTCACAAAAAAATCCTTACCATGCACTTTCAGTATCGTTTTCGTGGTCAGCATGCCGGATACCCCACCCCCATTCCCTCTATGTCAAATTTCAGTCAAATCTATTAAATTATAGTGCCTTCAAAAAATGCGAACATTGTTTGATCGTTGATGACTCTCTTGCTTTCACTTCTTTCGCCGAGCTTAAGGTATTATTCTGTAGAGCGAGGTCCAACTTAGACTTACAGCATGGATAGAATTTTCTATCTCTCTCCGTTATTGTAGGAATACGATATAAACCCTCAGCATATTGCGCCACTGTGGAATAGGCCTTTTATTAAATAAAAATTGCAGAAAAATCTAGAAACTTGTGTAGTAACGTTTTCAAGCATGCTGATTCAAGTACACAACTTTTCACTAGTTTTTAAGCTCTTTTGATGGTGTAATCAGCATGGTTAGCAGAGTTTTTACGTTTGCTGATTACTGATTCTGATGAACACTGATTCAACAGATGTCACCCTAAGTCAAAAATAACTTATGAAGGAAGCATCACAGTGAAGTGCAAACTTCATATATAGAATCGGTGACATCGATTAGTCCAGTACACGAGTTTCCGGCTTATTTGGTTTTCTTTCTGTGGCAAAAATCGATTTTTCTAAAATCCTTCTCAAAGTTTATACAGTAATCCTACAGTAACGAAGAAAGATCGGAAATTTGTTCCATGCTGTAAATCTAAGTTGAACATCGCTTCACAGAATAATACCTTAAATTCGGCGAAAGAAGTGAAAGCAAGAAAGTTATTAACGATCAAACCTTGTTCACATTTTTTGGGGCACCCTGTATAATTTTTCCTCTTATACCATGCACCTACAGTAAACCTCACTGCCGTCAGAATTTGGCAGAACGATATGTATATGCAATTGCGCTCGTAGCATAGGTCGAGACCTGCATAATGGCAAAATTTGAGTGCGCAACGTTGAAAGGGAGGAAAGTTATTAATAAAGTTGCAAAATTTATTGTTAGTTTTCAAAGAGGTACCTTTTGCAGGTGCTTTACGTATTTATAATCATCACCAACCTAAGATAATCCTGAAGAATGCCACTGTAGTTTGTAGGAGTAAGACGCTCATCCAGATCCACAAATGCAACCCATTGAGAATGTCTCTTTGCCCGCGTAAGGCAGTCCTAGAAGTTTGAAAATGACTTTGAATAATGTACATATTGCTAACAATAAAGTGATAGTTACAAGTTACATTGCTAACAATAAAGTGATAGTTACAAGTTACTTGCTTGAATTTCCATTCGATGCCAGTCAACAATCGATTCTATGTACGCATTACGGAAATGAACGACTTCTGCATCTCCTGTACGGACATAGTCATTAAGAACTATTGTGTCATACTCGTCGATTTCTCTGACGTAGATGTAGAAGTGCGTAGCACCCTTTAAATACCTCTTACAATTAGAAGACTGCCAAGAAACACTTTTTTGAATAATCAGGCAAAAGTATTAAGAATTTCTGTGAGCAACTTTCGATCAAGTTTTCGTTAGGCCTCGGTCATACCTTCGGCGACTCCATCGTAGCGAGCTGGGGCATCGAATGCCTCGGCGTCCAATCGCTTCGGGACTAATAGCATGTCGTTCATTCCGGGCTACCTTCATAAACGAACGAAAACACTATTAAACTTTTGAATGTGAAAAAACGATGGTCACAGTCCTTAGTTGAAGGTAGATTAGAGCTTGAGTAATTGAATCATACAGTAAAGTTGAAGCCTGAACCAAAGCTGAATGCAAACCTTTCCGAGCTCAATTTGAAAATTCTTATAGAATTACTAACAATGAGCTGTCTGAGATAGAAATATGAGGATCAAGGTCTCCTGACAATAAAGAATCATGATCAGCCTCATGAGCGCCACGACACTAATTAGGCTCATAGACGCGTCCACCACAGCATCATCCATTCTACGATTGTAAATGTTGCTCAAACATCGCAGACATTGCATTGCCGCCAACAGCTATTGCATGCTGGCAACAAGTTGTTGCTAGTTGCCGACACATTAGCCACGCGACCACAGTCAGAAATGCATACCGAGGGTAGAAGCGATCGCGGAGTGGACGATGCCTATGACGTTAATACATATGCTTCTAAAAGAACTTGAAAGTTGGTTTGGACAACACAACAAGGAGGCAAAACCTTGCGACATCTCTCCTGAGAAAAGGAAGCGAAGCGACTTATTGCCCTGGTGCAGACTCTGCGACGCGATTTCAAGTACACAGTAGAAAACCTTCAAGTAGTCATATATGACTGGATATCGCTACCAAAGATATGCCCGTCAAAAAAGTGCTGGCAAGCGATTTGTCGCCCTTAGAAACTTGCACGAATGCGGCGAGACCCAGTTTCTTTGATAATTGAGCGCAGCAGGTCAGGAACACATGTCCTTTGGCGTAATAGCGCAGTGATCGAAATCGCGTAAGGTACTCCCGATGCCTTACGGTTAGATTTAAGCATCCATCACACACAGAAACTGGACGCCGTTGCGTACGATAAAGACAGTGCGCGTTAAGAAGAGACAGCAGACAAGAGGAACGTGAGGCGTGATCAGAAAGACGCAGGCAGCGAAAGCAATGGCCCCTTGTCTCTGCGTGCGATGAATCGCCCCCGTTCTTGTATTTCTGTCGAAATGCGGTAATCTCAAATTTATAAAGGTAAAACCAAACTAGCCGACCAACTTGAATTTTATAATGTTCAATGAATTCCGACAGCAGGAGCCACTTTGGTTCTGGCCCATATATCGGAGCCAAGCAAACAGAGAAGAAATAGCGTGGCGCTGAAAATAAATGTTTGCAAGAAGGTAGGATATTGTTGGCAAGCTTAAAAAAGCAGGATTATAGTGTGGAAGCTCTTGCAGAATTTCAAGAAACTTTACTTTCACAGCTGTCGAAGTGATGTTGTAGAGTGGATCATTACCTTATGTTAGAGGGACGTCCCCATAACAATACACCTTTATGATTTTTGACCGACTATTGAAAGTTGGTTGAAAAAGTGTTTAGATTGCCGCTCATGTCACGGCGACCTTTACAGAGTGCAGACGACTTATTGATACCTATAGTGCAGAATTTAGCTGAATCATTTTTCAATGCAAAACGATCTTGCTCATAGAAGTCTATACATATGATCTTTAATTTCATTTCCTTAGTAAGCAAGATTATTTCCGTAATTATGCTAAGTTATACTAGCGTTCCCTTTTAGTCATAATATCTCAGTAAATTAAGACCAGGGTCAAGCGCGCTGATGCGATCCGGGACCCCCATTTACGACCCCCCTCCTGGAAGGTACCCATCCGTACGACCCCCTCCCTTCCCCATCTCCCCCCCCCTACAACAACTGCGTGAGAACTTCAGTGAGGTTTCGGAAGCAGAATTTTTAGGCCAATGGGTGCGTCCATCATCTCTAGCACACATACACACCTTTAATAATGTTTGAGATTCTGCAATTTGTTTTGAATTTTCAGGCATACTTCAGGCCAGCAAATTCGATTCCCGTAGGCGACACAAATTTTTGCACGGAGAAAAAATGACATTCTTGAACTACAAAAGATGTTTTCGACTAAGAAGCTCACTTCCTACCTCTTCCACAGTTTTTCCCGCGAAAAATACCGCTTGAGCGCAGTCCACAACGACGTCAAAAACGTGCATGAGTACGGTAGTTTGAAAATTCGTAACTAAGGCCAGGAAAACACTGAGAGGCTGCAAAGCACAGGTTCTGTAGTATAGTGCCCAGACTATCCAAAGAAAAAGTTTCAGCTCTTGAGGAGCAGTAAGCTCGAAAAAATTTAGATGCGATTCTAAAAAGCAAAAACTGGGATTTTTGAGCTTCAAATTTTGTAACTTACCAGAGAAGTTATAAAACAGCCTGAAATTTTTATGAGAGAAAGTAGGAGGATGGCCTCATATTACAGCAGAATTGCAGCCAACAAGCTTCAATAGCTCCGAAGAAATTTAGATGCGACCCAGATACGACCCCCCTTTCCTCACTTTTTGCTACCATATATAAAATCATAAGAAAATCCACAGTTCACAAAATAACACCAGATTTCGCACAGTAATAGTAGAGCTTATTCAAAGTACATATAAATTGCAAGGGCCGCATAAATGCATTACAAAAAGATTTACGAATTATTGATTGTCATCGTTGATTGAGAGGTTTTTGTCGAGTGTGTGAGGCTTCAGGAAGGCTTCAGAACCAAGATTTCTGGGGCAATCGGTACATTTAGCATTTTTATTAAATAATACATCCTTCAAAAGTGTTTTGAGCTCCTGTAAATGTTTTTTTTTGAGAATTTCTACAAATTTTTTGTCTTTTTTGTTCTGATTTCCACATTTTATATATTTATTGTAAACAACATAACTAATTGTCTGCTTTTTGATTCCCTTTGAAACCTAGAGTATTTTAACCTAACTACCTCCTCTTACGACCCCCTCCCCCACCTTAGATACCCTCTTACGACCCCCCGTTGCGACAGTCGCATCTTAAGCTTCACCCTGTTTAAGACGTTGAGACAGTGACATAGAGAGCTTCCAATTTTCTGAAAGGCCCTTCTAAAAATTGCAGAAACGTCTTCAAACTGACCATCAAAAGTGCGGTCCAAAATCGGCACGGGGTACGTGTAGTTTCCAGAATGGCTCTCTGATAGCGAAATAAATGTGGCTTCATCTCGTCGCAAGCAGAAAATGCTATATTTTGGGAATAAGACGCTCTTGAAAGGTTTTGCCACTTCATGAAGTTCGTCGTCAAAGTAGCGACAGTAGACGGGGTCGCTGGAGAGATTCAGCATTAGAATTTATAGAAAATAAGGACAAGAAAAAACTTCGGGAAAATGCAAACTGAAAATTATATCATAAGCTTAGCTCTTAATTTCGCAAACTCAATCTTTTTATGAATTGTGGTCCACATAAATTCTTACACGTTGATGCATATGATACCCGAAGGATTATGAAAAAATATGTTTGAAAGTAATTTTTTAGTTGTTTCTCAATCTCTTCCCACAACATTCTCATTTTAGAGTGATTGTCCCTTACTTTTTGATACAAGCAAAGGCTCCTTTGCTCGTAAGATTAAAAATTTTCGAAGTTGAATGATGTCGAGTTTTAAGCGATTTCGAATTTACCCCGTTGCTTTCTTCTTAAAACTAGCTTTAAAAAAGATATAATACTTTTCTCTTCCTCATGGTATAGATATAAATCGCATTACAAAAAAAACTTTGTTTTTACTGACTTTGCAATATTTTTGTTCGACTTGGGGGAATATCAAATATTGGTATCAAGGTGAATATCAAATTTCTCATCGGCGAATTTCAGTTTTTTGAAGCAATCCGGTTTATGCTTAGGAACATAACTACAATGTATTCCTTGCAATGTTTCATATGCTTTACTAAAAGCTACATTCTGGAAGAAATCTACCTTTTTCTCCTAGTAGAGACTTCTTGTGGCGGCTCGGTGGGCCCTAAGCACCTAGAATTACCCGAGACACCCGCACGCTCGCCCGCTTACTACATACGACGCAACCTAGCCTACTAACTTGCCCTAGCGCGCGAAGAAACAAAGAATATTAAATTACTTATACTTTATCCTTAAAACACAAAAAGAAACAAAACACTACGCTAGAATACTAAACTACAACTCAAGAAGAAAGACCCCAACACGGGACAGGGTGCCCTATCCCGTGCTACCGATGTTGCGCGTCTATATAACATCTAAACATGCTAATGCTCCCGAGGCTTCACCTATACAGATCCGCCACGCGTCGCCGGATACCAGGCGCGACATCTCTCCGCTCCCGAAGTTCATAAGATCTCAAATCCTAAAAGCTGCAAAAGTAGCTCGTCCAAAACAATCCCAAATCCACTTGAATTCTAATCAACTTTCTATCCGCTCGACCGCTAACGCGAAAGGGACATCAAGAGCGGGAGCTAAGTGCCAGGCACGAGCACAATGGAAAACATACGAAAAGATTATCGATCGAAAACGAAAGACAGAAAAGCAGACAGGCGCTGAAATGAGGCGCCGCCGCTGTATATAGCCTTTTGGCTGGCAACGCGCCAAGGCGAGGAGAGGTCCAGCGGCGATTGCGGCGAACGTAAGAAAGTGCCGTTATCGCCGCCGTGTAGCGCGGCAGCAACCAGTGCTCCCGGCCTCCTACTTCTAGGAGCGCTCGCATCGCGGAGCCGCGACACTTCTAATATCTCCCGCTTCCGCAACTCCTATCACTATTTGTTGTTTCAGCGAAAATGTGTGATGTTTGATTCTTTTCCCCTGTCCACTTCCTTTTTTCTTCACCATTCAACCAAATAACCATCAATTGGTCACTCAAGATACTTTAACACTTTGGAGAAAAAATAAACATGCCCATATCTTCCATGAGACGCAGTCGTTACTGTAATCTGCTCGGGGAACTTATATGCAGCAAACAATCTGAAGTTTTGCGGGACAGTGCCCTTAAAAAATTGTTTTCTTAATTAGATTGCGTCAGGTGTAAAACAAACCGTTGGAACCCTTTTTCCTGTTTTCTCCGCAATAATCTTTTCGTAAAATTGAAAATGGGGAATAGAAGTATAGTTTGCAACAACTTTGTCATCGGGTGATATTGAAATGAGATCATTGATGATCACAGGAGAAGCTAGAAGAATTAGTAGAACCAAGACATTCTTTAAGCAAAATTACACTCAACTGTAAATCTTGGAAGGATCAGAAGATGAGGCTGTCCCATAAGAAATTTTTATATTTCTCACAAATGGGATTCTGTCAAGGAATATCATGTCGATCAGCACTAAGGCCATGCTTGCCAAGAACAGAAACCCAATCCAGAGAATCGCATTGACCATGGTGACGAACTGCAACATCTTAGAAATTAGTGTTTCAAATCGTAATTTTACCAGAAATCACAACTGTGATGATTTCTTCAGATACAAGGGTCTCAAAGAATTCATCGAGTTTTTTAATCATTCCTTCTTTTTGAAATTTCGCGAGGCTTTGGGCCACATTGTAAGATTAGCTCAAACTGACAAAGAAAGCATGTTTGATCAAAGTGGCCTTTCGTTTCTAGATAGAACTTGTATCAACCATGTTGGTGCACAACACGTTGATTCTTAATCTGCCTTAACAATTTGCGGAACGTTTATGGTCGAGGAATTATGAGGAATTATTGGAGCAGTAAACTAAATGTGCAAGTAGGACAGAAATAGTCGTGATATTCCAGAGCCTCAGTGAAGCAGTGATAATTTTCAGTGACTACTACGCGATAAAGAGATGTATAACACTCGGCTGCTTTTTATACTAGATGCACATTTCATTTTTTTTCTCTAATAAACGCTCATAACCAGTCCACAAAGGGGCAGATTTATAATCAGCATTGAATGCTTCTTAATATCGTATACATCCCATCTAAAAAAACCACTTCAATCAAACATGGTCACCCCTCCCCCCTCCTCCATAATTCCCAAAATATTGCGGGCCCATAACCCTAAAAAATTGGACGATACAGCAGCTATTCCACCGAAATTTTTTGTGAGGCTTCGGATTTTTTCGAAAACTTCAGAACTCAATTATCTACCAGTATAATCAAATCGGTTGCACAGCAAATTCTCTGCAATTAACAGCTTGTAATGAGGGCATTATATTTGAAGTTTTTACCCTAATCGTACAATAATGAAAATCGATAAATGATCCGGTTCGCAATTTGAATCTAAATCTAGGCAGCTTTACAAATGCAATAGTTTAGTGAAAGCTGTTGTAACATGACTTCAACGATTAGACTTTTGATACATTTTTTGGGACGCCCTCTCTTAGCTAGAAAAGTTTTCTGTTTTGAATTTTCTCACGAAAATCTTTCCCGAAAAAACCAGTGCTCAAAAACAAGTTTACTTCTTCTTCTTGTGCAAAATGTCAAGCTGGTAATATTGAAATCACATTTTTAAATATCTTTGCTATCACTTTTCCTTCATTCGGCACCCTAGAAGCAGCGAAGTCATGCACGTTTCCTCACAATGAATTTTGATGATTTGCATCAACATAAACGCTTATTTGACATTATTGACGCTAGCAAGAATACCAAGGCTAATAAGATATCTAAGAAACGCAGCTCATAGTCACGGAGCATCATGAAAAATATGAATATCAGCAAAAAAGTTTCTAAATTAGCCGTAGGCTTCCGATGGTTACGGATGTTGTAAATGGGTATTTGATTGCTTTTCCGAATCTTTCCGTTGCGAAGATGAAACCGATTCAGCAACATAGCTTTGTCGCTGGAAAATTTGTCAAAGCTTAGAAAGTTGAGTTGCTGTGCTCATTTCTGATGTCGGCAAATAAACTGATGACTCTTTCCATCCCATAATTGTATCGTCAAAGATTACGCTTATTTTCTGAGAAGCGAAATATTCGCAAAGTTCCTGAGCCCAAACCTAGTATTTTTGGAGGGCTTTCTATACCGTGGGCTTTAACACATTCAAAGAGAACCTTTTTGAATGTTTGTAAGGTTCGGCCACAATTTGGTTGTCCCAACTAGGTGTTGACTTGAAATGACATGTATGTAGGACTTTACTTAAGATACTGTTGAGGCTGATTTTGATTATAAAATTGTTTTACGACCCACTTCGTCATGAGCTAGGGTTGTGCTGATTTGCGGGTGATTAGGCTGCAAAATGATAACAAGCATTCTAGTTTAAGAGATACATTTTTTACGAGCTTCACGTCTAAATGCTATTGAGTTCCAGATAGATAATAATGAACAAATCGGAATTTTCTAGAGGGCTACTGAGATATTTTGTAGGTTAGAAACTTACCAAAGACACTTCACCCTTTCCGAGCTTACCAATCCAAGTTTTCAAGCGCAGTCATGTTGACTTTCTTTCATTTATAACGTAATTGTGGTAGGGTTGGCTAGGCCTTCCAATCTATTCTGTTGAAATTATAGCATCTTTTGTCCTCTATGCTTCTAGCTATTCGCACTTCTCAGTAAGCATAATTGACGACGGCTTCTGGCTGAATATTGTGACTTTATTAGATGTCAGTATTGGGATAGCGATGAAAAGATTTGATTTTTCGGAAAGTAAGAGCACGAGGCGGGGTAGCCAATTTTTTGCTAACAGATTATCACCAAATCGTATTCTTGTAAAATAGAAAAAAAGACGGAAGACAGGTTTTCAAGAAACAAAGCATTGCGATCATTTTAGTGCAAAAAGAAGCAGTTCGCTTTGACCGCTCGATTTTTTTCTGGTCTCTTGATTGCAAAAAATAGTAGACTAATTCAAGTGGTCGTATTCATCAACGAACCCTGAGGATGAACCTTACCCTTGAGGGTGAGTTTTATCTCGGAGAGCACGAAACCCCTATTCACGAAGCGTGATTTCTCGGTGCATTACTCATCCCTAACATACTATTTGACACCAAACACGTATTTCTAATCCTTATCTCAAATTTGTTAAGTCCTCTACTGCCTAGGATGAATTTTTAGCTACGATATTTTGATCATGTAACAAATCATTTACTGAACGAGTACATTGGTGGACTAAAATTTAATGAGGGAGTTTCATGTTACGGATTTTTTTAATTTTTGAGCTTGATATTCACCATATTTGACTTCTTGCTCCCTCTACTTATTTGCACAACTGATTTTACTAGTCAGAAAAATCATATTCTTTAATAGTACCTTTGCTGCTTTCTTATAAAGGGTAGCTTTTGAGGCAGAAACAGAATAAATTCACTTCAATTTTAGTCATTTTAAGCTAGGTTGCTAAAAATTAGAAATTTTGATAATTTTCGGAGCATTACAAGTTTCGATTTGCCTTTTCCAAGCAGAGCTTGTATTGAATGAGCATCTCTGTGAAGAGTTATGATTCTCGAAAAGATTCAAATTTGCTGTTTTGTAGTGATCAGACAAAAAACGCTTCACAGATATGCTCATTTTAAGAGTGGATACAAAAACTTACATTATTGCTTGCTCAGCATTTTGTCGCAAGTTTCAGATTTTCAGCAGCTTAGCCTGAAATGGTCGATTGAGGAGTTTTCATTACCCTGCTTCCATTTCAAAAGCCATCCCTCATTGAAGAGCATCAAAGGCATCATTACAAAGAATAAATTTCTTCTAACTAATATGATCAAGTCTGTGCAAATCCGCTGAGTGAGCAAGAAACTTGATTTTTCAAAAAAGGTGCAATCAAACCATGGTCCGGCACAGATTGAAGCAAACTGAACTGCGTTTTTGGGGCGAAAAAGCGACGGAGATATCGTTTTTGTGGCTCAGGAAACACAGGTTAGGTTAGGTTTTTTAGTCGATGTTTCCAATAAGGGTCAAAAGAAACTTTGTAAGACTTTGCGAAAATCAGCGTGGACGTCGTTTTTAACAAGCCTGGAATGAAAGGGTGTAAATAGTTGAACACAATGTACTGATGTGTTTTTACTACTTGGACAGAGAAAACTAGATGTTAGAGACAAATGATCTTATGTTTTGTTAAAGGCTGTTTGCTTTTCTCAAGGGCTAAACTTTCGTCAATACCCAAGAATCGGGACCTCATAATTTGTTGATTCGGCATGCTACACGACATACAATTGTTTACGATACGTATTGGTCTTTCCCACCGTATGTCTTCCAGCCTCAACTGACGTGGTGCGGGCCGCCTCTCCTCGGGTTTGCGCCACTTAGCGGACGCCCGTTTGGCGTGGCGTGGCGAGATAAGCAACTGGCGCAAGCCCGAAGCGATGCGGCGCATCACCAATCCACGTCATGATGGGGTTGGAAGGCATACGGTAGAAAAGATCAATGCGTATTGAAAACTACTGTATATTCATTTGTTGCTGTGGTAAGAATTGTGTCTTGACTTTGCAGAGGCCCTTTGATGGGAAATTTGTATCATTCTAGTTTTTGCATGTCGAAAAACTTTTCTGAAAAAAGAACAACAGAATCAGCAGCAAAAGTTTTTCAATTTTCACCGTAAGCACATTCTAACCCTTACATGCAGAGTCGAGCAAGAGATGTGGCACACAACCGCCGGATGTTACCACTTTCCCGGTGAGCGTTTGGATAGACCTTCCCCCCCCCTACCTCTCCACTAGCATTATCGACTACCTACCGTAAGCATAGCATGAGATCCTATCAAACAATGTAACACATTCTCGGCATGTCAAATAACGCTCGTGGATCAGGTTTTAGCAAATTCTGAGGGTTCCAAATTTAGGCCACCCAAGCGAAATGCTCGTTTTTTGAGCATTAACTTTGATTGAATGGTGGTCGTAATTTTCACAAAAGTGATTTGGGCCTGATTCGTCTTACCTATTTTGAACTATCGAAAGCGAAAGACGACAAGCAAGAATTTGCGCTGGCTCCTTATTTCATAGGTTTTTTATTTGGAATGGTAACTTTCATGAGGCCAAAGAAGACGCAATGTTTGTATTATATACAAAAAAGGTGGCTAGCTCACCTTTAATGCTAATCGTGTTCGAAAATGACCATTCCACCTGAATGGCCCGATATTCGGCATGCCGAAATTCGTCAGGGCTTGGCACAGAGTTCAATTGACATGCTAATCACGATGATATTCATTACGCTCTCAGACAGCGGATAGGACCCCTCCGCCAAATCGCAGGGCCGCAGGGTTTCCCCAGCGGTAGGTCTGCCACTCGTCCGCCGGAGCCCTCCCATTTCTGCTGCGGAGACCTCCCAATTCTGCTCCGGAGACCTCCCATTTTCTGCTCCGGATACCTCCCATTTTCTGCTCCGGAGACCTCCCATTTTCTGCTCCGGAGACCTCCCATTTTCTGCTCCGGAGCCCTGCCATTTTCTGCTCCGTAAGTCTGCCGCGGCATACTGTAATTAGCCCTAATTAAGCTCCAAACCCCAATTTTGTCT